AAAGAGGATTTTTTTAAAAGGAGGTGGAATTTACATATGCTTTGATCCTGCAGTCAGTAAGCAAGTACCAAGGCTCCTAAAGGGCCCTGGAGCACACATTGAAGAGTACTGTTTCCCAGCGTGTCTGTAAGGGTTGAGTTTAGACTCTGAAGTCACATCATCCCAGATTTGAATACTCTTTTGGTTGATGACTCCTTTTTTTTTTTTTCTGAGACAGGGTCTCACTCTACAGCTCATGCTGGCCTTGAGCTCACTTTGTAGCCCAGGCTGGTCTCGAACTGCACATGTGTAATCCCAGATATGTAGCCTGCACCACCATGCCTGGCTTTTGATGCCTGATGAACCATTTATTTTGCCTTATTATTCGAACCTGCAAAATGGAATCACTGAGAGGTTGAATTACTTTATAGAAACAATGGTTTTTAATCAATATTAAAACCTTTGACTCCAAAATATCAATGCCACCTGCTGATTATAAATATCCAAAGACATATGGGCTATGTGACTTTGTTGAAGAGCAACAAACTTGGGGTCTCAAAGACCTTAAAATTGTCTCACGAAGCCAGGTATGGCCCCACACAGCATTAATGCCAGTACTCTGGAAGGCTGAGGCAGGAGAAACAAGTTTGAGCCTAACCTGAGCAATTTAGCAACACTAAAAAAAAGAATAAAATACAAAGAAGGTGAGATTATTCTGTGCTTCAAATTCAAAAATATGCACTACTAAACAACATGCAATGATAATATAAAAAGCACAATAAATTCCTAATAGCATTTACTGCGGGGGGGGGAGGGGTATATGGGATCATGAACTTAATTCAGGGTCCTACACAGGTAAGAATTTCTCTCTTCCTTAAAAAAAGCTGGTGAGTAGACAAGGAGCCCACCCCACAATGTCATTTTTATACCATGTATATATATATATATATATATATATATATATATATATATATTCTTTTCTATCTACCCATGGAATTTAATGATTCAATATACAACTATATTTTAATCAGAAAATAATATATCAGAAGCCCAGCAGCATCTCCGGACTCTCTCACATGCTAGCCTGCACCACTCGCCCAGCACCTCTGTGTTGGGACTGTCATAATTACAGCTTTCTTGCAGGTCACTCATGGACACCACCTTGTCGTGTCTTTGTGGGCGCTGAGTTTATACCACCCCTCCCGACTAGAGCGACTCTTCTCTAAGTGTGGCCCCTGACCCAGAAGCATTCGGTCCGTGTGAAGAGATTACAGATGCAGAGGCGTGGGAACTAAATCTGACACTCTGGGAATGGGGCCTGAATCTGCGCTTTTGACCTGCAGGCCATTCTGAAGCTCACATTTGAAAACTGTTCTTAAGGACCTGGGTGGGTCCATGGAGCTTCCTATCTGGCCCTCCCTCAGTTCTGTACCTTTTCAGCACGACTCCTCCTCCTGCTCCCTCTCCTCCCCCTCGTCCTCTGGGAGACTTTCACATTTTCCTAATGGAAGCAGCATCTACTTAGGGCATCCAGCAGGACCCTTGATCCCCTCTATCAGAAGGAAACCTTCTTTCATGCAGTCTAAGCTGTTGTGGTGCAGCCCTAAATGTATGGTTAGAAAACTGTGGGCCTCACTGCAGTGCCTTGTGTACCTGCTGTAGTCCCCAAGGGCTCGGTGGGCTTCCTCAGGGGCAAGATTACCATAAGCACCTATTATCATAAGTCTGTCGCAACATCAAAGCACGTTTAGAATGACTGAGACAGACAGCCTGCTTGTTTTGTCTTTGCCTTAAGGAAATTTTTCATACCCCGCTGGTTATGGCCTTTCACAGTAGGACAGTGAAAGAGGGGCTCCCTTTCTCAGCACCCTGGTATTTCCATTGCTGAGAGAAGAGAAAGGGCTGCAGTTATTTCTGAGTCCATTTCTCTGACCTCAAAGCCCTCCTAGTGATCTCAGAGACCTCATGCAGTTTGCAAGAATAAAGTGAATTCTAATGCCTGCCTGAAGTAACCACACTGCATCTGAAAAAGTTCTCCAGGCTCCATGCATTTTGTGCTTTAATCTCTTTCCTTCTCCCCAACCACCTTTTTATATTGAATCAATCACTTGGAAGGCTGAGTGCCCAGTATACACTAATTTAGCATACCTTAAATCTGATATCAGCAATGTGCACTGTTTGAACATCAGATGTACCATGAAATATGTATCGCTCAGCCATATTCAGGACTATTTCCTTCCTGTCATTTACATGGACCAGGTTGGGAGATACAAGAGCTAATTCCATGAGAAAAGAGAGAGCATTTAATTGCAGAGAGCAGGATAAATATGTGGTTGAGAAAAAATAGTTTTTGTGTGAGGTAATATAGTAAACAACTTTCTTGCTTCTAAGAAATGGGGTTAGAATTTCTCTCTGCCATAATTAAAAGTACATCCCTGAGCAATCACTTACTCTTAGTTCCCTTGTTTGTACTACTAAGACCGCAGGAACACTGGGTTGATTGGGCTTTGTAAAGATTAAATAAAAGAGTTCGCACATATGAAGACTTTTCCACAATGGCATTACCTAGGAAACCCTCAATACATTATACCTGATGTTTGCAGCAATAAATAAGACCAAGAAAATAAGTCAGAGCAAATTCTATCTGGTTTGATAAACTTAGGAGTTCAGAGCTCTCTTGAGGAGTCTGGAAATTTCTGATGAGAAAGATGAGTTGTTTAGCACTTACTTCAGGGAGATGTGGTGTGGAGTGGAAAAATGTAAAATATTTGAGACCAAACTTGTGAGGCCGGATCTGTGACTCAGGTTTCAGATGGCCTGGTCTACAGAGAAGAGAGCCCCTTAGAGTTAAAAACTGACTTATCTAATGAGCAGAGGGAGGGAAGAAGGAAGGAGAAAGAAATGGCATGAGGGATTTCAGCTGGCCAAGGGGAAACATGGTGGTCTGCTGATGGGGTGGGCAGGGTATAAGGGCCAAGGGGTCAGTAGCCCTGTGAACAAAGTAGTAGAAAACTGATAGTAAATGATGTAAGTCAGCTGGAATGTACAGGAGAGAAACAGATGAAAAGAAAATGACACAAAACTCTCTTTATATTTCAAAAATGAGAAGAGGCCAGAGTTATAGCTGGGTGAAGGCCCACCATAAGCCTTCCTGTTGCCCTGGTAACAGTGTTTCTTGCTCATTGCCCAGACATCTCCTCAGAAGAAAAACACATGCTAACAAAGTAGACCATAATCACAGGCAGCACTGCAGCAGCTCAGGCAGCCTTGGTGAAGGTCTCGCAAGAAGGAAAAAAATGGGATACAGAGACTTTTGCTACACACGAAGGAGTGAGGCCAATCAGGATGAGCTAAAGAGAAAGCCAACCCTTCTCTTTGTAGCAGGACAGTGTGCCCGTGGCTGCTCATTTAACTCCAGTTGACTCATTGTGGAGGGAAACCCGGCAGACAGCTGCTGCCTGGGAGCCATCATCCTGAGCCCAGACCAAGATGTGTTGAGCAGCCTTCTTGGCGTCATGTAATGTGGCTGGGGTTGCTTGGGAGTGGCGCCTCACTGGTCCATTTGCCCTTCTGGCCACTTGCTGTGACCCAAGACGGTTTGGCCTGCCCAGATAGAGTGGTAGGAGGAGTTAGCAGTGGGAAGTGTGGGTGATGTTGCTTTTTAACGTGTTGAGAACATCCAAAAGTTAGAAACAGCAAGTCAGGAAGCTGGCCTGAATCAAAGCAGGATGCAGGCCACTGCTGACAGCCCTGCTTCCTTGGTGGTGATGTTTTCTTTCAACAGAGACACAATCCTAATCTAATAATATTTTTAAGGTCTAGACTATTAGAGAATGGTGGGATTTTGGTGGTGTTTTCCTCATGTACTGAGTTAGACCAAAGATTTTGTAAAGAGTAGTATCCTCACTTTTTGCCATCATAATTAGCATATATCATGGCTGCTTATACTTCTGTTGTGATATTTCTTTTCTTACATACAATAAAATTTGCTCATTGGTGAGCTTTTGTAATTACACAGACAAGTGCAGCAACCACTGCAATCAGTATTCAGGAGAGTTGGGCCACCCAAAACAACTCAGCATCAGACCAGCTCCCCTCTCCCACAACCACTGATACGTCCTAAACCTTCTTTGAAAAAAACTTCCTTATGAAATAAGTCCCAGGATGTCCTTACGATTCACTAGTGTAACAATAGTAACACCAGTATAGGTTGGGTTTTCACAATCTGAGAACTCAAAATGACTCAAATTGCAAAACTTTTTGATTGCTAATAGGGGGCTTAGAAATTTTCAGGTTTGGGAGGATTTTGGATTTTCAGATTAAGGACAGTCAACTGTCTTTGTAAATATTCCAAAATCTAAATAAAATATCTGAAATGCTTCTGCTTCATTCAGTTTGTAATAATGTTTGATGCATATTTGCACTTGCTGCATGAAGGGTGCCACTGAAGCTCTTTGTAGATGTGAAACAGAGACTTTGAGAAATTTTGGAAAAGAGAGGAAATAGGAAAAAAAATATGCCCAGGAGTGTATGGTGACCACCTCATGGCTTTATTCCAAGTGTATCTCATCCCTAGTTCTATTTCCGGTATTCTAATATGATTTTACCTCCATGGAAGACATGAAATAAGACTAAGTAGAAAGACTACTATTTCACCAGTATCTACTGCAGAAAGTTCACCTTAGATGTATGGTTGTCCTATTCCATAAAAAAAGTTATATATGTAAGAACTTGATTAACTATACCAGTGAAGTAAGTGAGACAATAAATACAAATGTATAAGATAAAGTAAAACCATGGCCCTAGAACTCTCTCCTTTTGACCTCTGAGCAAGAAATGAAGATAAAACATTGAGTTCCTGTGTTCTCTGCCATAACTTGACCAGAATGGCAAAACAAAACCTACACAGATTCCCTGATCAAATACTGAAGTGCTGTTTCAATGCCAAGAACATCAACTTCCCTTTAAATTTACAAAAAAAGGGGATAGGGTCTTTAATCTTTGGCTCGCGTGTGTTTCAGATTAGAGTCCCCAACCCGATCTCTGGTGATGGAAGCCCCAAAGGGAGTGGAAATAAATGCAGAAGCTGGCAACATTGAAGCCACCTGCAGAACTGAGTTGCGACTGGAATCCAAAGATGGAGAGGTAAAGAACTTGAAGGGACAGGGGCCGAGGGGATCTGAGTCCAGGAGGCTGATCTTGGCCAAAGCTGATCTGCCATTGATACTAATCCTATTCTGTGTCAATCAAAGAAGCCAATCAGAGGGGTTTATTTTCTGGAACAAATAATTTCACAGCACCATTATAAGCCAAACCCATAATACATAAAAGTTATGATTCATTATTTGTAAAATGCTAGCATGATGGCATGTATTGCAAGTACAGAATTATATGACTGTAAAAATGAAGGCTATTTCCAAATTCTGTCTCTTCCTGCCTTAAAATAAGATTTAGTTAGCCAGCATAATTAAGCTGCATTTCACACCCATCTGGCTAAAGATGAACTTAATCTACTTGTAGTTGTTTTATGTCATATGTCTCAATTTTCATTGATGATGGAAATTCATATCCAACAGCAATCCCAAACCAGAACAATCAAAGAAGTCAATAGGGTAACACTAGGCCGCGAAAGAATGGAGGGAGGCAGACACTCATTCTCTTACCTCATTGCAACCCAAGTTGGGTGAATGGGAATTCTACTCACGAGTTTGCAAGCAGAGTAAGGTAAATGCCCCTTTCCAAGAAGTCATAAAGGCAGGGCGATAGCTCAGTGGCTTACATGCCTGCCTGGTAAGTGCAAGGTCCTGAGTTCAATCCCCAATACCAAAAACAAAAAATGTCATAGACTGCAGACTTATAAAAATGAGGGGGGCAATTTCTTTTTTCAGAAGACAAATCTCTATTCTCCATGTCATATCCACGCGGGTGTTATTCTCCGCTTGCTGCCATATGCCTGCTCTGTATACAAAGGCCCTTCCCTTGATTTCCTCAGTATTTACTGTTTTGTTTTGAGAAAGTGAGGCTAGTACTCCATTGTCACCACAGCTGGCTTCCTCAAACAACCACAAACTACAAGCCACACAAATGACAAAAATAGAAACTGCCTCTTATACTCAGGTTCTTAGATGCCAGATTTTGAATGATGGAATAATTAGTTATAATCATAAAGCTGAGGGTAATTTCCAGTACTGCTTATCTTTTTATAGTCATGCATTTTTTAGTCTATCTCATAGACTACCAGCATCATATGCTGTTTTTTTAAAAAAAAAAAAAAATCTCACTAATCATTTCACTTTAAACTTGGAAAATATTTTCTTCCTGAAGATCCACTTGGTATGTGGACGTAAGTGAGATCTGAGAAATTCCATACTAAAAAAAATTATTAAATGTAGCATTTCCATATTTGTTTCACTCTAGGTCACTATATTTGACGAGTCATACTTTTACAAAATGTGAATAACAACCAATGAGCCAGTTTTTTCTGCTATATTAGCTTCTGGGAGGGCAGAAGTTTGTTCTCACTTCTCTCCAAATCTCCAGTGCTGCTGCAGCTCCATCCATAGGAGCTGTTTGTGAGTTTTAATTAAACTGCGCCCCCATCTAATATTTCCTAGCATGTTCCTTTCTGGATGTCAAGAGCATACGTGACAGCCTCTGACTGACTCTTTTTCACCTATTCCCTCTCTTTAGATTAAATTAGATGCTGCGAAAATCAAACTACCTAGACTGCCTCACGGATCCTACACCCCCACAGGAACGAGGCAGAAGGTCTTCGAGATTTGCGTCTGCGCCAATGGGAGATTATTCCTGTCCCAGGCAGGAACTGGTTCCACTTGTCAGATAAACACAAGTGTCTGCCTCTGAGAGACTCCACAGAGTGGACCATGTCGGCAGCAGGAAGGCCGATTTTTGGCTTTAGACATTGGCTGCCAGCTATTTTTACTAGAACACAGAAAGCCTATCAAAGACCTTTTACGTGTGAGTGTGTGTATATGCGTGAGTGTCTGTGTGTGTGAGTGGATATGGAAATACACATGCGTGC